CTGAATCACTTATTAAGCCCTTTCTCAAGGACAGAAAGGGAGTACGTTGCTATTGTAAAATCTTTTTGTTGGATTGGTGAAAACGAGTTGATTATTGTCATGTGATGAAGCATCGATTGTTTTCATTGGCTCAACTTTCAAAACTTCTGGATGAATTTTTTTTTTTTTCAAAATAAAGAGTACAAGAATCATTCATTAGGAAAAATCTCACCTTGTGTATGTACAATTAGGAAATTTAACATAATCATTTTAACGACCAATGGCTAAAAAAATTTTTTTTAAAACAAAGTTATTAAGAAATACGTTTAATAAAATCGAATTATTTAATATTTGTTAATATAATAAAAAAACTTTATATCGTTTTTTGTATTAAATAATTATCATTTATAAAAAAATAAAAAAATTATTTAAAAAAAAAAACTTTCCATTATTTGAATGATTTAATATTAAATTACAATTTATGCAATATAGTAACCATTAATTCTATTGTAACCAAAAACAAGTTTTATTATTTTGGTTTAGTGGTAAAGTGAATACGTGAAACTGATTTTGTGTGAATACAGTCAAAAAAGATGAAATCTGCCAATCAACATTAAGCATAATCATAGATCGCGAATTTTGTTATATTCCAACTCCCTAGAATATACTGTATATAAAGAAAAAATGCGGAACAAACCGATTCATATGTTACGAGAAGTATGGTCAAAATTTAAAGAAAAAACGTCTACGAAGCTTGAACACAAGAAGAAATGGGTTCATCCAAAGGATAGGATCGAAAGGTGGAAAATTATTAAAGGAGATATGGTAAGGACTCCGCCGAAAACCTGTCAGTCCTTTGAAAGACCATTAGGAACGTAAAATGTTCTGTATCAGAAAAGTTTATGAAGAACGTGGTATATAATTCGACAAAACTACTGGTGGTTTATAGGTAAAAGTTATTGCGGGTGATGATAAGCATAAAATTGGAAAGGTGCAACAGGTAGACAAACTTACAAATCGAGTTTGGGTCGAAAATGTAAAGATGGTAAGTATTATAAGTCTTGAACTTCTTATCGAAATCGCTCATCAAATAAATTGAATTTTTACATAGGGAAGAATGACAAAAAGTTTAGAACTTCAGATGGACGAAGAACCACAAAATAAAGACAAAACCGGTGGCTGGTGGATGAAGAGTACTCTGAAGTCAATCCATGTATCAAATGTTATGCATGTGCATCCAGATGATTTGAAAAAGTAAGTGTGTAATAATATAATAAGAAATTATCTAAATCATAATTCTAAACCTCAAAATTTGTCAATTATCACAGCGATCTCATTCCGGCCAAGGAGAAGTAAGTTGTCTCGAAGGAGTCGAGCCTTTGTACTTGCATCTAAATGTGAAATTCGAATTGCTCACATCAATTAATAATATCAGGAGACGAGTTCGAGTTGATTGGAAAAAAATTAATTTAGACGGAAAAGACATAATACGATGGCGACGTGTGATTTGTGGTACAGATACCATCATTCCATTTCCTCCAAAACCAAAGGAACCAGGATATGAACAAAATAGTGAGTTTATTTTCGACTTTATCTCAATTTAAAATTAATATTTTTATGGTATTACTGATTAGATTTTTTTTTTTTTTTTTAATAGAGTCAATTCACGATACAGATTTCGAGGACGCGAGTCAGTTAACTTGGAAAATTTCGAAGGAATCACCGTTACCGAAAGGTGTTATAAATGAATTACGAAATAAGTTTAAGCCATGGAGATATTCGGCTCATTTAAAGAACAGACCATTTATTTGATGTCAACATCTCAATATTTAACTAGTTTTTTGTAAAAAAACCTGTAATAAACTAAAATAATTGTTGTCTGCCCAATTCCACCACGTTAATCAATTTAAATTCGAATTTCGCGTTTCCTCCAGTCTTTTAACTATGAACAAGCTGGTGTCCAAGAATCTTTCAACACAGTTTGTCAGGCAAGTTTCTTCACCGCGATCAATCTTGTTGTTGACTTTAGTGATACATCGGTCCCAGCAAAGGTCGGTGAAAGTGTGGATCGATTGTTGAAGTCTCATTTTCACATTTTCTCCTTCAAGAAATTTGGCAAGTTCTTTTTGAGAAGCTTCATCGAACTCGGATTTCGCGGAGAGGTTGTGGGACATTTCGTTATAGGGACGTATCATAAATGTGCACGACTTAACGGCGGTGTAAGTGGTGTAAGTGGGGAGGTGTTGAATGTACTGTATCGTTGATAGATTTTAACTCATCTATTTGTGTAACCCATTTTTTCACGTGATTTTCACGTATTTTGATCTACAAAGTCGCGTAAGTTTGTAATGTTGCTCTTTGCATAATGCTTCCGCCTCTTCGACAACTAAAAATTATTTCAAGTCGTATTTAATTGGTTTTATCGTTTTCATCATAGTTGAGTGTATAGCAACCGAAGGACAAAGGGCTCTCAAATTTCAATAATCGGTAAAGTTTGTTTGTTTATTTCGAGTTGGGGGCATGGGGTTCTTTCTCACTACTTCTCCATGCATAATTGAGGTCACCTTTACATAATGCACATTTTTTATTTCATTTTTTTATTTTGTTTAACCATTTCAGGATCTTGGTCTTTATTTAACCGAAATGAGCGACAACTCGTTACTACAATTCTTTCCGAATTATTTAAAATTCGGCGAACAACAAGTAACTGACACCTTACAGACTAGTTTTTTCGCTCCAACCATTTTCGAAGATCAATCATCAGATGCTTTTACGAACATGGTTACGGGAAATGTGAGTTTATATTGCAATGATTTTCTTAACAGCATAATAAAAAACTCCTAATCAACATTTTAATAAATTTATTGATATTTGTGCGGGAAACGAAGGGCTTGGGTACACCTGCGCCAACGCAAAAGTTAGAAACAATTAGAGTTGATGAAAATCAGTACTCGTCAATGAGAGAAGCTTCACATACTAATGCAGATAGTGCTGTGGTCCGTTATTTTTCGACTCCAGTGGTCACCGAAAGGTAATAAAGCTCAATTTCATGTTAATGTAATGATGGAATGCGATTTTTTTTTTTATTACCAATTCTAAGATTCCTACCATATATTTTAAGGCTACAGCTCGAAAACAAGCCGGGTTCTATTGTGAGGCCTCGAAGAAAAACTATGAATTTGGGCAAAAAGCTAGGTAAGCCAAACAATATGCACTTATACTGAGAACTGTCCGATTTATTTCTTTTTCCCCAAAGAAATAATCTTTCATTCACGTTCAGGTCCACCACAAAGAGTAAAGATAAATAACGAATCTTTATTTATGGAAGAAAAGGGCGAGCTTAGTATTGTTTTGGAATCGGATCGTTTGCAAATTTCAGGTAATACGCAATCCCTCTGCTTACACGTATCAATAATTTTATTTGAATTAACAAATTCTCCGATCAATCGCTCAGATAGTAAAGAACAAGCATTGCCATTAAAAGATGAAGAAGATGGAATCGCAAAAATGAAGAAAATTGTTTCCTTTGATGTTGAATCGAGTAAACCCTTAAAACAATCATCAAAAGAAAAAAGTCAGGACGATGGATCGCAAAGTCCCTCTTCACTTCATAAGAAATTCACCAAAAAAGAATTTCCAGCGGTTGCCGGCGAGATAATTCATGAAGACGATTCAAGATCCAAACGATCACACCCTGATAATATACATCATGTAAATACGGCATGGGTAAGAGAGGAATTAATACAAATTGATTAGTTGTGAAGAAAAAAAAATCTTATTACTCTACATTATCTTAGCTCAATGGGAAACCTTATACTATCATGGAACGCATCGGTCGTGGTGGAAGTAGTAAAGTATATAGGGTCAGAGATTCTAACGGTCAAGATTTTGCCCTGAAAAAAGTCTCATTTAAAGGCGTTGACCAAAATGCTATATCTGGTTATATAAATGAAATCGAACTATTGCAAAAATTGGCCGGACGAGATAGTATCATTAAGTTATACGATTCTGAAATTAATCATGACCGAGGATATCTACTAATGGTATTAAATCAACCATATACATTTATTTCTCTTAATTTTCTGTATACTAAGTAAATTGATTTATAACTTACAGCTAATGGAATGTGGGGACATTGATTTAGCACATCTGTTAAACAATCAAAGCGGAAAATCCATAAACATAGAGTTCATCCGTTCCTACTGGAGACAGGTGTGATTTCGCATTTCGTTTATATCCAAAAGGTTTCCAGCGGTTTCAACTTGTATCATTTGGTGAATTTAGATGCTCGAAGCAGTTTATACCATCCACTTGGAAAAAATAGTTCATTCTGACCTGAAACCTGCCAACTTTATCGTAATCGCGGGTACTTTAAAGTTGATCGATTTTGGTATAGCAAAGACTATACCAAATGACACTACAAATATCCATAGAGAACAGCAAGTATGATACAATCTATTTTGCACGATCGATCTATGAGAATTATTTGGCCATATAGAATCTTATTTATAATCTTCCAGGTCGGAACTATAAATTATATGTCTCCAGAAGCAATCCTTGATACAAACTTAAATTCATCGGGTCGAAAATTAATGAAAGTAAGTTATTTATCGATTCGCTTGAAAGTTATAAATTATCTGTGATTTTATTATTAATCTAATCCAGAACGCATCTCAAATAGTTGGGACGTGCTAGTGACGTTTGGTCTTTGGGTTGTATTCTGTATCAGATGGTGTATGGATGTCCACCGTTCTCCCATTTGTCCCTGGTACAAAAAATAAAGTGTATTACTGATTCGAGCTACCAGATTGAATTTCCAGAAACCATAAGTTTGATACCCAAATCAAACAAATCAAATCCTGAAGATATTTCTCAAGAAAGCGATGTTACTCAAACCATATCGGTTGATGAAAATTTGTTGAGAATTATGAAAAGTTGTTTGCAAAGAAATCCGAAAGAGCGTATGACGATACCTGCCTTGTTAACCGATCCTTTCTTTGGCGAATTGCAAGTGCCAGGTAAATGTAAATTTTAGATCAAAATTACCTTAAAACATATTTCTAATGATTGTAATGTTGAACTATTATTTTCAGTATCACCACCGATATTGGATAATCTTATCCGCGAAATGATCAAATATGCAAAAACGGCTGATATTACCCATCAGTCACACGAGCAAATAAAAAAGATTAAAGAGGTAACTTGAGTGTTTCGTAAAAAAATGTGTTATCTGAATGAGGTTTGCCTAATACGAATTATTTCCATTGGTTTTCATTCCAGACAATTTTTTCACAACTCAGAAACAAAGAGCCTATAAATTGTGAACAATGGAATAACTAATGATTCTTAAATTAAGTGCGGTTTTTGTCATTAATGGAGTGAATGAAGGAAAAATTATTAATAATAATTAGGTCCTTTATTACGCCCGACAGTAAGTATATAGTGTATAGTAATAGTTAGATTTCTGATAGGGTATAATGATTAACTTTATGTGGGTAAGTACGAATAAACATCACATTTTAAGTTCGAAGAATTTCCGTTGCGATCTTTTTTGTGGTTAATTATGGTAAAACCTTGTCGCAAACGGTTGTAATTATTTATTAATACTTTGTAAAAAAAAAAAAAATAAATTGTACTTTACGATTGGTTAAAATAAACCTAAAATTTTTTCTCAACAAGCCTGCAAGTAACACTTTAAGGTCTTTTCGCACATTTTTTCTGTTAGTATTGCATAAATAATTGAATGAAGAGTGCTATAATAATTGAACTCTAAAGTTATTATTATCTATTCGTATTGACTGAAAACATTAAGATCGGAATTGATCCTTTTTATACATAAATTAGATACGAATTTTAAAAATCATGTGCTTAACACAGGCATTACGCGTAAACGTTTTTGCTTACATCACGCGTGACAAGCACAAGATCATAAGATTGAGATTTTTTTTATATATTTACATACTAATCTTCTTGATTATATCTAGAATTTAATTAACTTAAAATAAACTACTTTAACGCATTAAGAAAAATTTTATCTTAAGGCTTGTCAATTGAAAATATTAAATTTCTTGAATATCTAATAATTAAATACTACTAACTTTATAAAATATATTGTATATATATATATATCAAGATTTTTTATATTTTTCATTTACAAAATCTGATCAATAAAATTAATTATCTATTGGAGTACTATATTTTTATAATATAATATATACAGTATGGTGCAAAAGTCTTTGGACTAATTTTAATTTTTAATTTTATTTATAAATCAACAATTAATTAGTAAAATATAATAAAAATTTGAATATATATAT